GTATGTTGCTAAGAGGCCCAAGGACATTGTGAGTTTTAGCCAAATAACTGGCCACTTTTCTTTGGGGTCTTTTTACCCTAACTGCCTAGCCAGTTCCTACCTCCTATTCTTATCACACCATCCTCTGAAGAGGTTACCTAAATTGCCAATAGGGAATAGGGACACAGACCTCTCTGGTTTCTTCCATGCTGAACAGGGATGCAGGGTGAGGCAATAGGAGTACCCCTTCAGTGAGTCTATTTATAAAGACTCCCAAATTGCATAACTCTTATCTTTAAGGGAAAAAGAAAGTCCTTGAATCGTGAATAGGAGATGTAAAGGAGAAGTAAAGGCAAGAGTAATTAGCATTACTCTTATTTTTCTATAACCACACCATGATTTGCTGTATATGAAGTTTGGGTGAGACTTCAGTGAGATGGCTTTTCCTTATAGCCATAGAGGGTCCTTGACGCTAGGCTATCAAAGTTGTTCTGGATCCTTTGCACCTTGGCTAGATTCAGGGGAGTGTGAACAAAAGAGTAGGAGCTTATTAGCAGTTTCAGGCTCTGACAAAGGTGACAAGTAGACTCTCCTTCCCCTGTCCCTGGAGCTGCCTAAGTCCCTCTTCTTCCCCAAGGTATGGTCTCCAGTCCTCCCATGAGCCACCTGTAGCTGCTTAAATCTTCTGATGCAGTGATTGCCGCTTGGGTTGGTTTTTGTTTGTTTTTTAAATTCAGGCTGGTCTTGAATTCATGAACCTACTGCCTCAGTCTCCTGAATGCTAAGATTATAGGCATGCACTCCGTGTCTGGTCGTCATACCTGTCTTGGTGCTTACACCCCAGATCCTGGTGTGGAACCGGGGGCCAGTTCTCAGTGTCCTGGCAGAGCGCAGGGTTTCTCTGGTCTTACCTTTTCTCTGTTTTGATGTGCCAATGGTCTTTCTAGCTTTGCATTCCTCCATAATCTAGATGGGATTTGAGGAGAGAGCAGAGCTACTGGCATTTGGCAAACCCTCTCGAGCTGCTTGTTATGTGTGTTGGTGATAACAGGGAGGAAGATTAATGTGAGTTCACATTCTAGCAATGCCTTTTGCCAAAGTGATTTTGTCCAGGACATACTCAAACTTTGCCTGTGACAGCTCTGTGGACAGATTAAACACACTGTTTATACCTGGAGATACCTTGTTATGTGCAGGGTTAAAGTTGCCAAAGGACTTGATTTCCTTGAAAATGAATATTCTCTTGTCCATGAGCTTTATAAAAATGGTATCATATTCTATGTAGATGAGCAGATCCTGCTATCTTTTTAAAAAGAACAATGGGACAGGAGAGATGGCTCAGCAATTAAGAGCATGTGCTGAACCTAAGCTCAGTTCCCAGCATCCAAGTCGGGTGACTCACAACTACCTGTAACATCAGTTCCAGGGGATCCAACATCTCTGACCTCTGAAGGTACTGCAGTCATGCACAAACCCACAAACAGATAAACATATACATATAATTAAAAATTTTTTAAAATTTTATTTATTATTTTTATTTTATGTGTATGAGTATATTGCCTACATGTGTATAAGGGCACCCGTGTTGTGCAATGCCCTCAGAGGTTAGAGGAAGGCATCAGATCCCCTGGAACTGGAGTTAGGGATGGTTGCTAGTGACCATGTGTGTGCTGGAACTCCATCCCGGGTCCTCTGCAGGAGCAGTCAGTGCTCTTAACTGTTGAGCCATCTCTCCAGCCCAATATTGTGCTTTTTGAATTAAAATTTTTATTTTATTTAAAAATTTAAAACTTTTGGGGGCTGGAGGTATGGCTCAGAAGTTAAGAGCACTGCCTGTTCTTGCAGAAGACCTGGGTTTGAATCCCAGGACCCACATGGTGGCTAACAACCATCCATAACTCCAGTTCCAGGGAATCCGATGCCCTCTTCTGTCCTCCAAAGGCACTACATG